AGTGTTTAGCATTTATATGTACGTGTATTTTTGTATGTATGTATAAATATGTATATGCTGGGCTCTAGCAGCTTGCCTAATGAAATGTGCACGGAATGACTTAGCCGATCGAAAGGCAACTGACCCCAAGCTGGCCGGGACTCGAATACATTTCAATTGCAATGTGCCTGGGTCAGAAGAAGACCTACAATAGAATCAAGCGCCTGTATGGGTGCTAAAGATAAAGTGGGAGCTGACAGCGTCACGGTCTAGGGTTTGCGTTAATCACGCAAATACGAGTGTGCCAAATGTGAATCGCGCTTCCCCTTCGATAAAGCCGATCGGGGGGATTACCAAGAATAAAGTACAATTAACGTTATACACGTACATGCTGAAACAAAATAGTACAAGATTATGCCTGGAACACTGCTATATCTTTCGAACGAATGGCTTCTTTACCCTAAGCCCAAGGATTCTCCTAAGTCCGGGCTTGTGTTTTTTCCTTTCAGGATCAAAACATGATCTCCAATCAAATCGCGGTAAATCTATTTGAAATCTGCGTACAAATTCTGAGAGTATGTTCCAACACCTTTCGATTGACATATCGATCGGTACAGTCAGATATTAGTGTGCCGTAAACTTATGCTATCGCCACTATACGTAGAGACTGCCGCTCACAGACATACCTGTTGTATTCTCAGCAAAACTGGACATACGTACAGATTGTTTCCTTCTGCCCACTTTCTCATATTTGCTTGCCAGCACTTACACACATTGTCCACTGGGCGCCGCACATTGGCGCCTACTATTTTATTCATGTGTATTAGCAGGCAATTTGCCGACTTAAGCAATTACCACAAGAACTACGCAGGCTACAAAACACATTGTTGGCTCTGTTCAATATTTATATCGTGGTCATAATAATAATATGTAAATGACTTGACGGCTTACAAAACACTGTCGGCAACCTGTTATTATTGTTGCATATGCAGAGGGACCTCTGTTTTGTTTTCTCAAGTAATTTGCGTAGCCAACGACGGACCTGTAATTTAATAGCATGACGGCGACTCGGTCGAATCCAGACTTGAACGTTGTTGAGTTAATAAGTGGCAGACCAAGGTGTCAGCAGGAAATCGTTTTGTGTGATTTGTATGTAAGACGTTGGCGCCTCGGGTGGCAAGATTGTCAGGCATGTCAAGCGACTAATTATCCAAAAGGCTTGACACAAAAAAGCAAACATGAGGGCATTTCTATATATTATTTTATACCCTTTACCGAAAGGGTAAAAGGATATACTAGTTTTTTTGCGAATGTATGTAACACACAGAAGAAAGTATATATATTCTTGATCAGCATGACAAGACGAGTCTATCTAGCCTCTCTGTCTGTCATACCATAGGAACACCTGGATTTCAGAGACAATAAGAGATATATACACCAAATGTCCTATGTATGGACGCTACACGAGTTTGTTTTCTTTTTTTGATTCACGCACCCCTTTTTGAAAACGCCGTTCGGAGACTATAAAAGCTGGAGATACAAAATTTTAGCCCTAAATGCCTGATATGAATACACGGAAAATTTGTATTTAAGAATATTCCTCCATCATTTCCTTCCCCCGCAATTAGTGATTTTCATAATTCTTTTTCCGTAATTCTTGAAATTATGGATTGGAATTTGTGTCTCTATATAAAGTTTGCTACGGTCGATGTCAGTAAAAATGCGTAATTTCCAAGCCACAATAAAATGAACTTCTTTAACTTTAAAGGCAACTAGTATACCCTTTTACCTTTTGGGCACAAGGTATAAAAACTGTGTCAACGACTTTAGTCCACTTAGTGTTTTAACGAGAAAGTTAGCGCGCATGTAATAATAGAAGCAATACGAACTGGAAATAAGAATGGGATAACAACAGCAGGAGAGAACGTAGAAAAATTCAAAACAAGTGGCGCAAAAATATTGAACAATACAGCACAAAGACGGAACAGCTACAACTACAAACACAATAAGCGTCCAAAAGCAAATACAGAACGCATGTGTCATCATTAGAAAAAACAGCGGCGAACATGAACATCCCTCGACAAGGATAAAAGTAAAACAGCCAGGCTGACAGCCTAGCTTTCTCCTGGACGGAGTAACGGACACGGAGAGATGAACGGAAAGACAGGCGTTTGGGCGCACGCACTAAGCAGAACAAGGCATCTCCGGCAGCTCTGCCAGCAGCGCCGGCGACGACCATACTACGAACAGTCCACCCCCACCCAATCAGCCACCACCACCCTCAACTACTATCGCTGTCGCATTTGCCGTTGACGGTATTGCCATAAAAGTGAAATAACACAATGAAATTTACGCCAAGGACCGGCACATCAACAACCTCAACGGACTGCTGCGCGGACGTTTGCGCTGACGCTGGCGTCGACGTTGGCTTTGTAATAAAATCAAAAAAGAGGGTGACAAGCAGACAACGCCAACAACAACAATAATAGAAAGCTAGCGTTGAGCAGACCCAACTCTTATATACCCTGTAAAGAAAACCCTAAAAATATTTTTTAAATTAATTTTTAAAAAATACATTAATTAAATAATGGCAAAATAACCAACTGACAAAGATATATGTGTATGCACAGATTCAATAGCATACATTTACAATTGGACCATGTCTAGGCGAGTGTGTATGTGGCAGTACAGAGACAGCTGGAGGCAGAGCAGAGGCAGAGATTACATTTATAGTTACAGTTCTTAACAATTGACATATTGATGATACTTAACGTATGGACACGTATTAACTAACCGGATGTAATTACCAAATTTGAATTTGAAATTTCAAGAATTACGGGATTTATGAAAAATGATTATGAATTATAACTCGTTATTCCTCGATCTTAGGAGGATCTGGATACCAAGTTTCAGTCAAACGAACCGTGTTTGTCACACTGAAGGGGTGTGCCCGTTTCTTTCGGTGTGTTACATAAATTTGCACTAACCTAGTATGCCCTTTTACCCGTTGGCTATAGAGTATAAAAATAGAGGCAAGAGTGCAGGGGAAACGCCGATACTCCAGTCAGCTGTAATTGAAATAGAAGGCCGTAAGTGTACGATGGCGACATACAAGTAGTTGCGCATAATCGGGACGCAAAAGCGAGAAATAGTATAAGTCTGATTAGAATTCAAGTTGCTGAAATTCTTATTGTATTGTAATGGAAGGATATCCATATATATATATATATATATATATATATATATATATATGTACATACAAGTAGTATTATATTCAATATTTTGGAGAAACACATTTTTTTCAATTCAACTCTTGATTAGGACTTCCATATTAACAACAAGAACGAAATTCGAGTGGGCTTAACTCTTAAATTTCTTGCACTCCCACAAAAAAGTAAAATACATTTGTTTGAGTTTTTTTTTAATTGTTTATTATAAAACAAGTAAAAGAGCTAAAGTCGGATGTCCCGACTTTGAAATACTCTGTACATATGTTTACAAAAATTATAGAAAATAAAAAAATTAAGAAAATTAAAAAAAAATGTTGATTGATTTTACCTCTCTCGGTATTCGAACTCACGTAAAGGGTGTATAATTGCACATTTACATAGCAATTGCGTCTGTGTGAGTGTATGTATGCCTATGCGCATCTATTCGTGTTTGTGTAAACATGTTAGCAGTCAACCAAACAGCAACATCAACAACAGCCGCGGGCAGCGCTGCAGCAGCAAATATATTTATGGCTATAACTTCTCGTTAAATCGGTCTATCATAGTGAAACTTGGCATACGCACACATAATAACGAACTGGGGGTAATTGCAAAATTTTAGTTCGAAATTCTGAGAATTACGGGAGTTACGTTTTGGGGGGGGGGGAGGGTGGGTAATTCCAAAATATACATTTTCTGCGTATTCACATAAGGCATCTTGGACTAAAATTTGGTGTTCCTAGGTCTTATAGTCTCCGAGATATAGGCGATTATACGAATGGAAAATCGAGAAAACCCCCATAGGGGGGTAGTGGGGGAAAACCAAAAAAATAAAACAAACTCGTATAGCGTACACACATAAGGCATCTTTGTGCAAAATTTTATGTCTCTATCTCTTATAGTCTCTGAGATCCAAGTGTTCATACGGACGGACGGACAGACAGACATATAGACAGGGCTAGATCGACTCGTCTCGTCATGCTGTTCAAGAATATATATAATAAAGATTTGAAATCATTTGAGAATTTGTTTGTACTTTTTGTTTTTAATGCTATTTTTCCACCAATGGCGTTTATTCCTGCAATAACAGGATTATTTTGCGGCTGAGTTGAAAATAATGTCGTTTGGTTTGTTATTCTCAGTTAAAAATTGGGCTTAAACCTTGTGATTTTACATGAGTTTGGGTAGTAAAATGAAATTTTACGCTCAAAATATTAAATTTTATATAGCATACTTTTGTAGTGGACTTGTTTTCACTTGTTTTCCTCCTATCGGTCCTTAAAAATTACTGTTGCTGCAAAAAAAATGCAGCAAGCCGTGCCCTTATCGGCTTGAAATTGTTGACCTACGCGTGAACCGACACGCAGATGGAACAAGAAAATGCGGTAGATTTTTGACTCCAATATAAAACCCAATGATTAATTATCAAACAATTTTGCTATACAAACGAAAAGCGAATACCACAAACCCCGGAATAACGTAATAAATATGCGTGTGTGTATGCCTATGAATATAAGTGTTAGTGTGCAAATGATTTTTTGTTTGGGTTGGATGGACGAGCAGCAAAATATATGCATATGTACATATATGTATTAAGTTGTCATTACGTGACTACAGACATAAGATTTATTATCAATTCTGTGTCGCTCTCTCTCCGTTGGTTGGTAAGCTTCAGTGAGGGTGGAGATGAGGGTGGGTGCCTATTAGAATGTTTTGGGGTTGTGTCGGTTTCGGTTTTGTATAAAAATGAAATGCTTTTATTTTGTTTTCGTGTGTATGTTCGTTTCCATTTTCGTTTTCGGACATACTCACAGTAACTTGTTGAGCAAACTCAACCTTCGGCTGGCCGACCAATTCAATAATATGAACCATATGGAACGATTTGCTCTCTGACGTGGGCTTTTGTGGAAAAACAATGTATTTGTTTTTGTTCCTCGCTGTAGATGCTGTTTTCGTCACAGGAATTGAGTTCTTTTGATTGAGAGATTTTTTATTTCTTTTGTATTTTTTTAAACTTAAAATTCTGTCTGAGTTTATTTTTTGATTTGGTTTTTGCACTTCACTTGGTATTGTATAGATATTTTTGTTTTCTTACTTTTATTGATTTGCTTTTCCAATGTATTTGATTTTCGGTATTTGTAAAAGCTTATGCGTAGAGTTAGTGTATTTGTCCGGAAATAGAATATATCTTATCTGTACTTTTCAGCATTTAAGCAGACGCACGGGTTTCGTTGCGTTTTCTAAAAGGAAAAGGATTACCAATATTAATTATTTATTATTTTGGTAAATTCACACAAAACGGCAGAGAAATTTCCACTTCTAATCACACACTAATAGCATTTTCTTTCGTTTAACAATTGTTTTAGTTGCAATTCACTTATTCATATATTAATTGATGATTGATGCGTTTTTTATTTTTTGCTTTAAATTCATTGTTGCTTTAAGTACTATGAAAAAATCAATTGGCTTACACCAAAGCAATTTTCTTCTGAGCTTTTTTTGGTAACTAGTTTCAGGCATTTCAATATTTTCAGTCGCATTACTTGTAAAACTACTTTAAAATGTATTTATTATAAAAAGTTGCCAGGCAGTTAAAGGTTGAAACTGGGCTTAGCTTTTTCGAGTCAGTTCATTTACAATAAATGACAATAACGCAGCATAAAAAAGAGTGTATAGGCATGATCGAAAATAAAACTTTTCAAGACCAATAGCCCATAGCAAAATAATTAAGACCAATGCATAATCAATTAACACAGCCGCAGCACCCACAGTCGAATCACAAAAATCAAGAAAATGGGCAAATCACATGCAAAATATTTCTATGCAATCCGCCAGAATGGGGCTGGGGTATGGGTCGATGTTGAATTGTGTCGATCTGCGGTCGTGGTGAGGGACATGGTTGTTGTAGAGAGGCTATGTGTGCTGGAATGCCTAAAATGAAATTATGGAATGCTCAAAATATTTAAATTCAATGCGTATTCGTTGCGCTCAGCACACACAGTTGCTTCTCAATGTGATTGAAAATTTTTTCGTGTGCTATGAGCGTGAACAAATGTTTGTTTATACGTGTATGGGAACATTGAAAAATAGAAAATTTCTGTATTTTTGCTTACAAATTGTTTCTAATTATTTTTTGTGTGTTTATTGTAGCGCGCATCTATTTTTGGAGCTAATTATGGCAAGTGCTGAAGCACAACTTGAAGACGAAAGTTCTGAAAATAGTATTAAGTCCCAGGTTAGGTTTAAGTTTCCTTTGGAAATGTGCAACAAGAGCTTTGGAAGGCGATGGAACAATATGATATTATTCTTACTATTATCAGTATCTACAAAGAAGGTTAGTAGTTTATGTGTGTGTTTTGAGTTTGATTGACACAATTAAATAATAATCGCTTGTGGTTTACTCATACGGTTAATATAAATATAATTATTATGTTGGTTTTAATCTGTTATGACGCGAACTTAATTTGAATACATGTATGTGTTTTATTTTTATTAAATTTTAATGTTTGCGTTTAAACTTGAGAACAAATTTCACACGACAGTCGACGGGAACTATACAAAATATTCCGACTTAACTACACAAAACTCAATATCATACTGAAAAAGGACGGCGCTTACAATGGCGAGAAGTACACAAAAGCAATCGAGACGAACGCCTGCACGACACGACCACAGACGACGACGACAGCAACCGAACCAACGGCAAAACTTACAACAATCGAAACGAACCGACAACGACCAATTCGAACTAGCGAGCGCAACAGCCGGCAACGAACGAGTAACGGTAAACAACACACGCTATCCGTGCGTGGGTGCGAGTGGGTGGGGGGTGGTTGAAGAACTGGGTCTTCGTCGGCTCTCGTTCGGGTGAGAATCGAACATGCCCACCAGCGAACATGTGCGCTTGTCAGCCATAAATGTTTGCGGATGTGCGAGTGTGTACGGCTCGATGTCAAACCAGAACATAACAACTACGAAGAGAAAATCGAAATCGACGAGAACGACGAGGAATAGCGGCACATGCTCATACCACGTACGACGGGCGGCTGGAAACCCAACACGGCCTAAAGGAAAAATACACATGGCCCACTACGACGAGTCATGCAGAGACGAGAGTGCTCTCTTTGCTCTTCGCAACGAAAATTGAAGGCGTCAGTTGACGAGCGTACGTGAGAAGAAGATGGCGATAATTTGTTCTCGCCTAGATATGTAAGCTATATTGTGAAGCTGAAAGGCTTGCATCTGAGTGAAAGCGAGAGAGCAAGCGCCTGGATGCATATGCTGGGCTTACTGGCTGGCTACTTCTGCTACCCGTCAGCAACGATTCTTGAAGGGGTGGGGGTAGGCGATGACAGTAGTATGCAATTTTTCACGAGCGAGTTGGAAAACACCAGCTGTAACTTTGTTACAGTTCCACGACTGATATGCCTGAGAAAATGTGTGTGTTTTCTTCACAATGAAAACATTGGTCTTAATTTGAATCTAGTTTGTATGTAACTAAATATTTTATTAGCACCTGACTAAGTCATGCGATCAACACAAAGCATTTGGCAGTCTCAAAATGACTGGAACGTTGCCCCTTGTGGAAGAAAGAGCACAAAAGAGTGCATAGAAGAGAGCGTAAAGAGTATAACCGTATTGCAATAGAATCACTCCCGCAACAAGGTTTCCATTTACTCACACAATTTAGTAAGAAGAAGACGATGACGAGAAGAAATTGATATGCGAAACGCAACAATTTTTCCAGCCAGAACAACAAGAATAACTGCTATAACTATATATACTCATATGTACATATATTTTAAATAAATGTATGTATGCACCGTAAGTAAGTATGGGCCGACAGCTAAACCGGCGATAATACAAAAATAACAGAAAGAAAGCGTCGCTAAATGAGCCAAGAGAGGCACTGCGGTGCAAGTTATACCTTTGCCTGTTGCCACACTTTTGTTTTCAGCTTCCAGAAAAGAAGCAAATAAATAAATCTGTCAGCCAGTTCGACCTTATGCAATTATACATACATACATACATATGTATGTACATACGTATGTATGTATATAAAAAGAAGTTAACGCTCCTGCTTTTAAAACTTTTCTACTTTTGTACTCATCCAATATTTTACTCAAATTCACGGACTTTTACAGCTTACTTCTCTTAATACGAGTATAGTTGAAAGCAGCAATCAATGTAATTCCTGCAGATCTACCCATCCTTTTTCAAGCTTTATTTTTATTATTGCGCTGTTGTTTTTGCTTCGCGCCTTTTGCTTTCGGCTTCAATAGATTTTGTTGTAGTCGTAGTGACAGTGCGTGGGCTTCTGTGAGCATGTACTCCTGTTTTATTTGTGTGTCACTAGGATACGCAAAAGCATCACGCGCTAACCCCCAGCAGCCCCAAACCCAGTGGCACGAACCTCACGTTGTCTGGGAGTTTTTCAATTTGATATGCTCGAGCGATTTTCGCTCATTTAAAACGCGCCACTCTGCCAACATGGTTGTTGTTGTGTTATGTGTTCTATGCCTGTCGTCACCAATTTATCGCATTTATACTTTGAATTTAAGTTAATTTTTGGACAGTGCCCACCATCGTCCATTGTCCAACGATATTGTTTCTGCTTTTATTATTCTCTTTACTTGATTCTAAGTTCGTTACATGTGTGTTATTATTTTTTGTTCTGCAGGCGACAAGAATCAAAATATTAGTAAAACAAAAAAAATTTTTAATTAATTTAAGAAAATTATATTAATTAAATTATTTAATTAAATTAGAGACATGTTCATGTGCAGTTTTAACCGCATACATTTAGATCAGAATCGTGTCTCTGCGTATTTATATGCGTATATGAATGCAGCACAAAGTTGAACCCAAGCAGCAGCAACAACAACAGCTGCGGGCAGCGCTGCCGGCAGCGGTACAAGCAGAGCATGGGCAGCGATTTTATTTATGGCTATAACTTTCTTCAGAATTAACCTATCATGATGAAACTATGATGAAGGTATACATAATCACTAACGGGATGTAGTTACCTAATTTTAGTTCGAAATTCCAAGAACTACGGTAGTTATGGAAAAAACACGAATTTCGGGGGAGTGGGGGGCGCTGCCCGCAGCTGTTGTTGTTGTTGCTGCTTTGGTTCAACTTTGTGCTGCATACATACACGCATATAAACACGCATAGGTACGTGATGTAAATGTATGCTGTTAAAACTGAACATAAACATGTTTTCTAATTTAATTTAATTAATTAATTCATTCATTCATTTTTTTTTAAATTTTTTTTTTTTTAATTTTTTTTTTAAATTTTTTTTTGTGGAGAGTACAGGCTATTTTACTGTCGGGCTTGCTCGACTGTAGCGTTCTATCTTGTTTTTAATAATTTAATTTTTTTAACATTTTTTTTTTTTTGTGGAGAGTACAGGCTGTTTTACTGTCGGTCTTGCTAAACTGTAGCGTTCTATCTTGTTTTATTATACCCTGTACCCAAAGGGTACAAGGGTATATTAGTTTTGTGCAAGTGTACATGTAACACACAGAAGGAGGCGTGGCAGACCCCACAAAGTATATATATTCTTGATCAGCATGACAAGCCGAGTCGATATAGCCATGTCCGTCTGTCTGTCTGTATGAAGGATCTCAGAAAGTATACGAGCTAGAATAACCAAACTTGGTATACAGATTCTCCTGAGCCCGAGAAAGGGCGAGTTTGTTCATTTTTCCCGATTAATTTAATTTAATTAATTAATTAAAATTTTGGAAATACCCCCAGTTGGTTATTATGTGTCCGTATGCCACGTTTCACTATGATAGACTGATTTAACGAGAAGTTATAGCCATAAATATATTTGCTGCTGCAGCGCTGCTCAAGCGCTGCCCGCGGCTGTTGTTGATGCTGGTGCTTTGGTTGACTGCACACATGTTTACACAGACACGAATTGATGCGCATAGGCATACATACACTCACACAAACGCAATTGATATGTAAATGT